TGTGTAATACGCGGTCCCATGGGAGGGGGTTCATGCAGCCCCAAAAGGCTATAGGCGGATTCATGCTGACGTCATTGTTTACATTTTTGCTCATTTGCATACGGCTTTGCGTAAAGAAGGAAGCATGTTAGATACAAATTGACTTCAGGCAGCTAAAGAGCTAGAAAACCTTAGTACATGGTGAAATTTTTAGCTCTTTGGGTGTAATATTCAAGGAGAAATAGTCCATCAAAAACTGCAAAATTTCAGGGTGGCAAAAGCGCTAATAAGCTCATACATTCTATGTAAAATTTTGAGTTTTTAAACCCGTGTTGCACAAAAAGTGTTTAATGCATCAGGCTCGTACTCATTGGCCGAGTTAATCGTACTTTGACCTTTCGATATTCAGAACTGATTTATTTTTAGCTCCATCAGAAACTGAATTGCGTATGCTAATGAGGCAAATATTGTAAACAAGGATTCCCCTATTGTCAGTGAAGGCGTTGTAGTCTGAACACGGGTATAGATTTAGCCGTTATTTAAATGAACGTAGAACTATATTTGTCCTTTTATTTCTGAATGATAAATAACCAAAACCAAAATACCTTTCTAGATGAATCTTAGGAATATTTTGCTCGGTATTCCTGCAAAGCTTAGTTCAGTGCTGCAAAAATGAATAATCGCAATCCAAGTTACAGCTTTCAAAGGTAAAGTCTGAAATAACTTTTAGTGTAATAGAAAAATCCGAGCCCCAGATGGGACAAAGTCTGAAATGAATATAGAACCAGGTGGTACCCGGTACTGTAAACAATTCCGATGAGTTAGATTGATGCCTGTGAGAAGAACGTTTCATATGAAACTATAGAATCTACTCACAAAATTTACTTTGCCACTACGATTGACTCGACATCGATAAATAGGTAACAAACAAGTGACCTTGTTTTTCAGGAACTTCAAGCGATCAAGTCAAAGCTGGAAAAGCTAACTCAAGACCTAGAAACACTTAAAAACGTAAGAAACTCATCTGTTTATCACCTTTCTGAATTTGGATCTCAGGAAATGTTACATACTACCATTAAGGACCTTTGTAACAGCTCTCCACCATAAAATATTCCTGCACTAGGTTGTTGATATATAAAGTATAAATGATTACAAAGCGTGCAAGTTTAAAATTTAAAAGAACTTGAACCTGTTTTAATACAAAAAAATCTAGAGTGTCACATGAGCTTAATTTTTTCACTCAGATTAGTTGTACTTTCAAATATTACCAAGTGTTCTTCACTTCGATTTTAATAGGCACACTTTTGTATATTTTAATGATGTATATGGTTACATTTGTACATTAACGTCTTTATTCGTTAATTCGCTTTCTTCAATTCTTTTACTTTTCTTTTCCTTTCCATATTTTTTCCAATACTTTTACATTTCTGTTTCATGTTGAATTCATTAGAAGAACTATCGCGCCTCTATCTTAATAAAAGCAATATTTCATGATTCCTATTTCAGCAACCTAAGCAGATGACAAACTCTGGTAAAGGTCAGGTTCAAGGATTGATTTATTTTCATTTTGTAGAGCACGCGTATCTCGTATTCCAAGTTCAACGTGTCCGTCAATCATGATTTTATCCTTTCACTACTTTTTAAAACTTATTCGCTTATTCTTTTAAATTGTTTCATCGCTTGTCTGTTCTCCTGGCTATGTTTTTTTTTTTTCGTTGGCTCGTTAGAATTTAGCCCTTCCCAGTTAGTCCAATTAACAATCAGACACGTCCTCGAAGCTTAACACGTCGTTTCAGGCATTAACGTTGTGTTTCGGTGACGACTGTATTGTTACCCGGTCACTTATGATAATTTCACTGCATGTTACTGAATCTTAATCACTCACTTGTAGAAACGAAGTGTCGACAAGGCTTTCACTTCTTTGAGAAATTCAAACAAATTCCTACAACGGGAGTATCAGATGTCAAATCGTTTTGGATCGGTAGTGACCATTTTCTGGTGTTTGCAAGCTACTATGGCGACATTGCTGGCCATGAAGCTGAGTCTGTCGTCTTCGAAATAAAGAACGGACAATTTATTAAAAACCAGACGCTGGCAGCCCGCGGTGGTTACTATATCGAGCACTTCATTATCGATAGAGAGCATTACATGGCCATCGCAAACCGGGAAGACGGCGTAACTGGTTGGAAACTAAACTCAATCATTTACAAGTGGAGCAGACACCGGTTTGAAGTGTTCCAGATGTTTCCAACCAATGGTGGGTCTGGCTTCAAGTATTTCACGATCGATGGAGAGCATTACTTGGCTGTTGCAGAGTTTCATGACCGCAGCACTTATTCAGTTGACTCTTCACTGTACAAATGGAAAAGAGGAAGGTTTGAAAAATACCAAAACTTTCCAACACATGGCGGAGTAGCTTGTGATTCAATTGTGATTGCCAACGAGACATATCTAGTCTTCGCCAACCAAGTTAACCCTCAGAAAAGCTTCGACGCGGAATCTTCCGTGTACAAATGGTCAGGGGGTAATTTTCTTAAGTTCCAAACCGTGAAAGCGCGCGGTCCCTTTAGCTCCAAGTTCTTTCAAGTTGGTGGCCATGTCTTTCTCGGATTCGCAAGCTCTCGCAGCACAAAATCACCTCTCTTGAAATGGGATGGCTCAAAATTTACTTTGTTTCAAGAGATTCCAACTCGTTGGGCCATGGAGCTATGTCTGTTTGAAGTGAATGGTGATGTGTTCCTCGCAGTTGCCAATTATCAGGAAAGCAAATCGTCTGTGTTCAAAGCTTTTGGTGCACAATTCACTCACTATCAAGATTTGGAAACACATGGCGCCCGAGGAGTACACGCCTTAGTTCATGAAGGCGAGAAACATCTTGTGTTTGCTAATTACTTGAAAAACCGAAAAAGGAACATCGATAGCTTTGTTTATAAGTTTGTGTAAACTGTGTAGAGGGACCTCATCCACATCACTCACTGTTTAGGATACATCATATATCGCAATTTCACGGTTTCAAGAAATCCCTGGGATAATCGTTTTGTCCCTACTTACAGCATTTCTTGTTATTAGCACTGAAGCCAAGAATAAATATACTGTATAAAAATTAGATTGTTTGATTCATAGGTAGATTATCGATGAATTAAAGTACTGTTTCACCGCTTTTTTGCCTGCTGCATTGAGTAGAGGCGTTGCCGGAAAAGTCCTTGCATGTCTAGTGACCCTCTTGTAACTAGAAGTGCTGATAGCCACTCGTTTGCTTCTGGGCAAGTGTTTCTCATTTCTCATGAAAAGTTAAAGCAAAGCACGATGACACGAGTTATTGGATTTTTGTATCGACCACGAGAAATACTGCGGAAAGGATAGGACTGTAACAAAAGAGCCCTGCTTATGAAAACTTAAGTTTAAAAGTACAAAATTAGTATGCCACTTTTCCTTGTAACCTTACAAGAACGTCGCCTACATCGAGTATACAATTAAAGATTGTTCCATTAAATGTCTAAAATAGTCTGCTAAATGTTTTGGATTGAACACAGCCAGTGTCAAGTCTCAATTGCTTAAGTTAACAGCGAACTCAGTACCAACGAGGTTTATTATCTCGCAAGAAGAAACTCCGGCAGCAAATTTAGTTTCACATACCTTCAACAACTAAATAGAGTAGTAATAGGCCATTTACTATATTTAGTGGTACCGTTTATCACGTGCAAAGAAACGAAACGTGGCCTCCGTGTTTTTAAACCCATTACACCCTCACGTCATTATAGTTTGCAATTCTCCATACTGTTCTCTATACATATTCATTGGCACTTACAAAGAGAATTTGTGTAACAATCGAGAGCTTTTTGAGTTTGCGATGATTTACTTGATTCTCATGAACTCAATGTTTGATTCAGGGGTGATATTGTAGGGAGAAATTAGATGTTATCACTCTTAGGGGTTAAAGGATTAACACTCGAGTAAAATTCGATTTTTATCGGTCAGAGTTTGTGCTTGAATTCAAGTTCTTCTTACAAGAAATAGATCAAATCTAGTTCTTTCGTCTCGAAGTTCCATCGTAATTGACTTGGAGTTGTTCTGGTTGAAGAGGTTCAAACTTGGCCACTGAATACTAATCAAAACACAATAATTGGATTTCATTTTAGTCCGTAACATTTCACACCCCCTTTTAGTAAGAATTTTGTCAAGTCTGCTCTGTCTTAATCAGATTTTAAAGAAGTATTTTGATTGTTCGATCAACGCGCTGTTGAACCCATGGACGCAATTGCAATGCGGCAACATGAAAATGAAAATACAATACCAAGTGTAATGATATCATTTATTTAAGGATTTCGATTTGGAAAAAAACTTGAAGGCTGAGATGAAGTTTATTCTAACGATTTTGGCTCAACGAGAAAGCCAGTCGACAACTATTTCCAATAACAATTCTTGGACAGTACTTTAAACGTAGTCTCTTGGTTTGATTTATTTTCCTTTTTCCTTGGGAAAAAAGAAAACTACTCTGTGTCTGCGAATCAGGCATACCTTCATACTCAGCTATGAGTAATAAGTTGTTCTCTTATTCATCTCGTGATTTTCTCGTAAGAGTTTCTAGGAACTGTTTGCTTTAAATCATACAAAAAGTTAGAAATTGGAAAAAAACTAAATTAGAATATACCCCACCTAGTGAAATTTGCTGACTTTTCAGAAATCATTGCAAAGCGAAGATACAGATCTTACTGAAAAATGTTTCTTACGGTTGCTCTGAAGTCTTTCACGTCTAAGCAATTCGAAGTTCTAAACGTGAAACGATCGTAGGTCAGATTAGGCACCTTCAAGATCCAGTTATAAATTTCGATCCCGAAAAAAGTTTAGCTTGTGTCCTACTTAGAATCGTGAGTTTCGGGAAGGAAAGTATCAATAATACGACATAAATATCGAAAAAAAGACGTACCGCCTTTGTTGACATGAGGTCGTTTCTGTAATCTATTTGGACATTATTCCATCATTGGTCATTCCTTCACCAGCCTTCTAATACCGAGACTCCCTCGGCGAAGCCAGTCTTAGACGGATGTGCACACCCAAGCATTTTCCTGCCGTCCTTGACCGTAAGAGCTGCTCCATTTCCTGCCAATTCCTCAGTGGTCTGAGAATCCACCTCAGACACTGGTTGTCCGAACTCGGTAACATCCAGTAAGACATGATCTTCGATGGTAAACTTTTCCACCTGAATATCCTGCTGGAAAGAATGAGGACTCGGAGACAGAAATGTTGGAGCTTCCAGAGCTGCTTTGGGATTCAATCCACTGTCTAAGATGCTCGTTAAGTACTGCGGAATAACAAATGACTGCGAGGGACCGGTGGAAGTCAGAGCCAACACTGGCACCAGGGGAATAGAGTGCAACATAGAGGTGGCTTCCCGGTTCGGAAGACTGCCTGACCTCCATACATCAGGAATTCCAAGATGCGGAAATTCTTTGACTTCTTCTTTGTTAAAGATGTTCTTCTCTTGAGAATCTTTGCCTTCAGTCTTTTGTCTTCTTACTATGATTTCTTCTTCTCTCTCACTTTCTTCTCTCTTACTTTCTTCTCTTTCTTCTGCTTCCTTTTCATTTTCTTCCCTTTCTTCTTTTTCCTGGATAATCACAGAATTTGGACTGGCATTGCAACTCTCTTCTTCGTTATGGTGATGTAGATGTGATTCAGGATGTGGTTTCTCAACCTCCTCGAGTTCCTCAGTCGGTAGCATGGGTGGCTCAGGATGCATTGGCAACTTAGATTCGTCATTGACCTCTGTGTTTTTGTGACGATATAAATCAGGATTATGTGGTTTCTCAAACTCTTCGAGTTCCTCAGTCGGTGGAATGGATGGCTCAGTGTGTGATTTTAGCCTGGATTCACCATTAGCTTCCTTGTTTATGTGACGATGTGGTTTTTCGACATTGAACTCCTCGTGTTCCTCAGTTGGTAGAATGGATAGCTCACTACGCATGGCTGACTTCAATTTACCACTGACCTCGGTAGGTAGATCTGTTCTCTCTCTTTCATGGCTTGGTTCATTGAAAGGCATCCCATTGGCTTGGAAATTAGAGTGAACATCTGGATATTCCTTTTCTTCAAAATTATCAACAGGCTCCTCTTCACGTCCAAGCTGGTGACGTTTTTCTGACTTGTCCCTTTGCGACTGATGGAAAAACTGAGATCTAACGCTGTTATACGTTTTGAAAACCACTAGTTTTTGCGGCTCTTCTTCCCAGTTCGATTGGTGGGTTGAGAATCCTTTCCTCTTGGAAGCAAGCGACTTCCTGTTCTTTCTTGCTGCAGAAATGTCCCGTTTGAGCCTTCTGCCAAATTCATCAAGTTGCCGAGTTTCCTTTTCAAAGATAATCACAGGCTGGAATCCCGACGGTATTCTTTTACCACTATTGGTCCTCTTTACTTGCGCCTTCAATGCGATTCCAGAGCTAGGGAGACTTACTCCATGCACAAACAGGCCTGTTCCCCAAGCGTCACTATCTGTGCCATGCGAGAGTGAGCAAACGTTGCCAGCACCGTCCACTGCAACGACACCAGACGAACCGCGATGATGCCGTTCCACGTCCATCTCAACACTTGCCAGCAATTCTCGCATGACGTCGTTTACATTTCTCATCTTTTCAAATGAGGCGATTTTGTCCCAGAGCTCTTCAGCAGAGTCCTTTGTTTTCCGATAGGAATAATCGGCATTTATTCCAAGATGATCTTTGAGCAATTGTTTTCCATCAGGAACTTCTTGTGCGAAAAAGGTAACAAAAGAACTAAGACGTGTTATGGAAGCTAACCAGAACAGTTTTGTGGCGTTTGTGAGGTAAGAGTCAGTTGATCCTCCGATTCCTGCCAGTTGCATCAAATTTAACTTTTCAACCAGCTCAGCGCCTCCTAATTCCGCGCCTGTCGTCACCACGTGATGCTTTTGGTACAAAGTGCTTGTGGGCTCAGGTGAAGTCACCTTATACTGAGTCATGTCTTCCATTGTGACGTAGCCTTCGTGACGTTGAACTGTCTCAACCATTTCCTCCGCCCAGGGACCACGGTAGAAGTACTCCTTTCCATATCTGGAGAGGCGTTTAAGGAATTTCCCCAACTTAAGTTGCCTGAATCGTTCGCCAGCTTTGTACACTTTTCTTGTTTTAGGGTTGGTGAAAGTATATTTTCCTATAGAGGACGAAATGTCAGTCATTATAAACCAACTATTAAGTTTGCAATGCAGGACACGACATAAATATAAGTTGTGATTGTCTCTCTTACTTTTGTTGTTGTTGTTGTTGTTTTCTTTTAGTTAGTTTATAAAACATCAAAATACATTAAACTGATCAAGTTTTACAAAAAGTCTTGGTTATTAGATGCAGATACAATTTGAAGCCGTAAGCACTTTGGCTTCTTACTTTGTCAGTCCCAACTCAAACGATGAAATAATTCTTCCAGGCCCCGGTTGTTCGAAGGTTGGATATCGTTATCAACTGGATAAAACTCTGTCCGGTGGATAACGCTATATGTTTTGAAATCACTTATCCGCCGGATAGCGATTTATCCGTTGGATAGCGTTATCTGGCGTTTATACAACTGGGCCCAGATGATGATACAGCCTGGAGGTGCACGTCCTGTTCATTGTTCAAATGAATTACGAACAAAACTGTGAATAGCTTAGAACGTCTTACCAAGGTAAGGCTCCTTGTCAATACGGTGTCTTATTAATCAGTGGTCACTTGACCCTTAAATTACATCTTTAAATATTCATATGGGAGGAACCACTAAATTCTCTCGTCAGCACAAATTATCTTGAAACCCCATACCTTCCTTGGTGCGAAGGAGGCCTCTCTGATTGTAGTTTTTCCTCATCTCCTCTGCCAGGTCAGAAGGGAGTTTGAATCCCCTCGTGGCAAAGTACAACGCCGGTTCCAACAGTTTGGACAGCGGAAATAAACCAAACCTCTCCGAGGCCGTATAGACGCCTGCGATGAGACCTGGCACTAGCACGGCGGCTCCGTTGCCGAGCTCGGAATGATGTTCAGGGATCTGGGCAGGGTCTAGGTAGTAAGGCTTGTTCCAGCCTGCATCAAGGTTGTAAGTAACTCCGGTGGAGCTGTCATAGTACAAAATGTTGGCTGCTCCGGCGTACGACACGTACGATCCAGCTGCAAGGGTGATCTCTGTGGAAAATGAAACAAAACTCAGTTATAGATAAAAGCCTGGGACAGATAAAGCTTGATTACCAGCCGCTGTTCGGAAATGAGCCCACACTAGTTTGCCAGCGAAGAAACTGGACTGGAGGAAAAAGGCCTGAGGCAGCTTTCACTATTAAGAGAGACAATAACACTTTCAAGTGCCCGCTGTGCGGCATGGGATGGCTGCGGGATTACTACGGGATAGCCACTGGTTAGCAGCTACGCTCGTCAACGTATTTACAATGTGAGAAGAGTCAAACCGATGAAAAATAATTTTTTTTCTGTGGAAATGTTAGTTATTGCTTTTTTATACGCCACAGTCTTTCAAGACCGAGACACTCAAAAGAATAATCTAGTCCATTCGAATATAAAAAATATCAAATGATTGGAAATGAAAATTCACTGATCTGTCCTTGCTTATGACCCTGATTAAACTTCAGTTTGGCAGGACAGGCTTTGACAAATGATGTTGGGGAATCTGTCGTTTCCGGTTGGACGGCTTTGAGAAAGTTGCGTACTCATTCCCAAAAGTGAAAAAGTTTGCTTGGTTCCCAATTTCAGATCCATATGATAATGGTTCAGGTGCAAATTTAAGCCAACAGGCGACTGAAAGCATTAGATGGCACGGCTCATACTTTTGTACCCGTTGAGGGAGAACTTTCCCAGGACACTGAAATGGCTGTTCATTGTCATACCCTATCTATGGTTGGTTTCTTGTGAAACAGATAAATTCCTTGATGTCTTCCTCGAGTATTCATTTCATTTAAATTAAGCGTTGTTAATTACTGAGAAGGTGAAGGCCATCACGGGGTAATCAAGTAATTAGTCAGGAATCAAACGAAACGATGTATCTCGTCGTCACCGTGTCTAGAGCTGTCACCGGAAACAGATTTCACTCGCGCTGTTGACCTCAGTGAAGAAGAACTCTGTCTGTAGAAAGCGCACTATATTCGCGTGTCGCTTTGAAGCCGCACTGAATTAAATGGAGCGGAAATATCTTTTTCGCTCATTCATTCTTTGTGTCATTTCATTTTGGTCCATATCAGTGTCCGATCAAACATTTTGCCATATAAGTACCATTTCTTAGAGTCACCTTGCAAATATTCTAGCTAATCAGTCCCAGAATGGTTCTTTTAGACTGAAGAAGACGTGACTCGGAAAACGGTCATGCAAAACTGTACCATAAAGTAGTTTCCGCTGGAGGAAAGGACGTATGACCCCTTGACCCTTACCGACAAACATGAAAACCTCAATCTAATGACGAGTCAACTTTAATAAAAAAAGGCCAGCAAGGAGGACCATGTGCAAAATCCGTGAAGCCAACGTGTATATCAAAATGCAATTTTCACTGTAAAATATATCTGTAAAACATTTCCCGTGTTTTGCAGATCTTAGAGCAATCGCTAACATCTAGACGCGGGATGGGGTTACCGGAGCCAATCTGAAGAAGTTGCGGAATGATGATCTTACTAATGGACTGCCGATAAAACCGCGAAGAGGCTCCCTTTACAGGATAATTTGTTTATCATTTTTAAGGGCTGATACTAAAAAGAAAAAAAAACTTGTACCGTCACAGAATGTGATGAAAATTTGTGACGCTAAGAGAGCTAACACTTGCCGTCACTCCATCTATTGTGATACGTCATCTTTGGCGGCAAAAAATTTTGAGACCCATTTCATTTGGAATCAGAGTTTCTCTTTTTTTTTTTTTTTTTTAAGAGAACGTCTAATTTTGGTGCTGAGTCTAAACGTTCTTATTTTTTCGCGATTTGAGCCTGAAAGCGTCCTTAACATGTTCTAAAGTTGTGTGGTAATTGATTAATTCGGACGTGACCTGACTAAGTTTGACTACAAACTAAGTTGTTCTTCAGTGTATGGTGCAATAACCACATTGTTAATGTTAAAATTCATCCCCAAGTATTTGAGTTAATTGTCTTGATAGACCACAGTTTTACTACAGTTTACATTTCTTTTAAGTTTATTTATACTTCACAGCGAAATAAAAAAAAAAAAAATGTGCCATTCCGTTAAGGCTTAACTGACTCTCAGCCTGGGTATGTTCTTGAGGATGATGTTCTCAAATGTGGTTAATCTTAGCCTGAACGTTCTTATAAAAAAGATTCTTATAAAAAAGGGTTTAATAATCTTAGTCCGTTTACATCCTCCCTTTCCATTTGGTTTTTAACTTTGGTATTTGTCCCTTACAAACCATTTTTTTAAAAGAATTTTCTACCAAAATGAACTGACGACAGTCTTCGTTAACTCCAAATAACGAACCAATACACAGAAATAATTCAATTTATTTTTACTTTTCTTTTTTTTTTCTCTGCCTGGTCAAAGTGATGAGTTTTCTTTGTTTGCCACTCATCAATCCTAATTTCTGGTCGTTGTTGCACGACACGGTAAAGCGAAGTGTAAGTTCTCTCTTTTCCCCGGATTTCGAGGAAGCCGTAGATTCTCTTGTGATTTATCCTAGCTCAGAGGTTTCAATAAAAACCGTCTGTAAGAGTACTTGCCATCGGCCGCCTAACACAACAACTACTTGTGGGAAAAGTTATTAAAAACCCCCGGCTAAGTCTTGAATTACTCCAACTCTGTTTACGAACGTTTATCCACTTCAGTAACCAGTTGCAGTTACTGAAAATGTGTGAAGACAGTGAGGGGAATTTGATACTCTGATGTCGGTAACGTGAGTGTCTCGTGTTCAGAGATGAGGGTAAGCTACAGTAAATATGTGTCGTTTGTTACATAACATTGAGATAAATGATTGCGACTTGTGAATGTGTTTTGCAACCCCTTTTGAATGGCGACCTCTGAGATTGTAATTAAATCTTGCAGATTGATCAATCAGATATCATTAAAGTTATATAACGCCCAGGAAATAACTTTTACACTGATCTGTGGTCTGTTTCATTGGAACTGCGTTCACTTTCTTCTGATGAAAGAGATCACGCGAAAATTCGGGCTTTGAAAAGTCTTTTTATTGCTAATTCCCAGGGCCGGAACAATAAGAAAGCCACATCCGCTGCAATATTTGAAAACATCTCTCAGTCCAAAACGCATCGTGAGATAAAACAGAGTTGCTAGTTATCTTTATTCTTTTTTATTGCTTAGATTTTCCTGAAAGTGTCTGTTTCATCATTTGTTTACCCCAAACCGCAAAACACTTCAGCCACAAACACAAAGATCTAGGCTTTGACAATGGTCTGTGTGTGTGGGGAAAACCGTGTTGATACCGGCGCGTGAAAACTCATGCGGAAACTTTGTCAAAACGTGTTGACTTTTGACGTTTCACAGTTCTTATCTTGTCAAGTGTCTCTGAGTGCACATATACGTGCTTTATAGCGGTCTGCAGTTCCTCCGTCGATCAAAATGCGTCAGACTCTTATCTGAAATATTTCTCAAATTCAAACAATCTGTGTTTTGCTTAATCTATATTTCAAAACAAAAAAAAAACATCTCCATCAAAAGTCTTTGAATTTCTCTGAGTATTGACTTTGTCAGAAGATGACAATTTGGTTTACTGCGTGAAAAATGAAGACATACGAACTGTATGTTTTGTAAGTAAGTAGTTTACCGAAAAATTTATTAATCCTCTCGTGGCTAAACCTCTTTAGGTAGATCCTAAGTGAACAGAAAATGTTTTATGATGCAAAAAAACACGGATCTGAATGCAGTCCTGAAAGCAACGTGATAACAGATCGCTAGATCTCAGCTCCACGTCAAATGCGCTTAGCTTAGAGGTAAGCACATAAACGAATTTATTTAGTCCCAGAAAGAACTTTTTTTAAAGTTTGAAACGAAAAACTGAGAGAAAAGTTCGTTTGAAGATGGTTGCGATTTTTGCCTAACTGTTCATGAGTGTTTCATCAACTACTAATGTGTGTAAACTTCCTACCTGTAAGTGCAGTCGTCAAGCACGCATCCATGGCATTGCCTCCTTTTTTCAGAGCCTCCTTTCCAGCATGGACCGCGAGGGGATGTCCTGCTCCAGCCACCAAACCCTTCCCATTGCTAAAAGCCAATGGTTTGGGACGTCGCTGTGATTTGTAAAGAGAAAGCTCTTCTAATCTCTGGACATCTCGGCGAAACCAAGTCTTTGGAGAGAGCGAAACTTCCTCGGGTGGCAGTAAGGCGTGAGTTCCACACACAGATATTAAGCCAACCAACGCAATAAAAGTCGATCGCTTCATGGCTGAGGTGTGTTCTCGAAGGGCAAATCAAGAGACGCAACAGGGTTGTTTGTTTTTATAGCAAAAAAACGGTAATTTAATAGCTTTTATTGTTCCGTTGTCTTTGGCTGATCCGAAAAGATGTTCAAGGAATGTCTCGCACGCGAAGTGCTATATATTGATCGTGCGCGCGCGCGATGATCATGATGTGAAGAAAGCGGAGACTCGAGTCACATCAATCTTCGGGCTGGCACAAAGCCGCTTGATCAGATTTCAAATTGTTAACTATTTGTTTATTACGAGCAAATTAACTTGGAGTGATGGACGAATCATCTTGAGTGTTTGAAATTTTTCGCATGTCACAAGTTGACAGTTGGCAAACAACGTCTCGATCTCAATTTACATTGAACTTTTGAACGTGTGAAATCCGTGGAATGATGAAAGATTTTAGTCTTCGAACTAAAATACAAGCACTTTTGCCGTATGGTTGTCTCTAGTGCTTGCTTCAGCGTCATAGGAGAGAGAAAATTAGACATTGAGGAGTGATATGCCTCCAACACAACGAGATCACATGGAAATCGACGACGATTCGGCCCGCGATCAAGTAAACGGATTTTTACCCACAGGAGTCGCTCAAGTCCCGAAAGAGGAACTGCAAAAATATTTGAAATGTAAGCGCATTGGAAATTATCTCCTTGGAAAAACCATCGGCGAAGGATCATTTGCACGAGTTAAGCAAGGGTTTCATGTCTTGACTGGAGAAAAGGTAAGAAATCAGGTCATCTGCGAGGTAATCTATATCAACAGAGCCGGCTTAGGCCTCAACTTCGCGTCGAGCTAACCTGTAATTAATTGCAACAATTCGGAGACCCAGCGTTGTGGTAAATTTAGAATACTTTTATTATGTTCCATTTTTAGGCGAATATTTACATTTCCGTTTAATTATGAGTTTAAGCTACTTGGAACTCTTTGATAAACCCCGTAATTCAGGACTAGCAAACAACTAAGGATTATGTTGTGGGACTTCTTCGACGCTAATTACGCCTGAAACAGAATGGTATTGAATTAACAAATGATTTTTTGGGGGTAGTTTTCGTGAAAAGCCTACGCAAAATTCTATTGCCGTGCGCGAAATCTTTCGGAAATATCAGTTCTTGTTCGCAAATCGTAAGACTGTCTCGGTGAGAGAGAAGAAAAAATATCTGTTGTGACTATATGCAAATTTTTCACATGCGAAAATCAAATCAATATGCTTTATTAAAAAATTTTGCTCAGTTGTTCTATTTGGTCTCCCATCCCAGTTGAAAAATTCAACTTATGACGTCGTTTGAAATTAAATTTTGAAATTAATTTAATTACACAGACGATGAGTTCATAATATTTTAATATGCAATGGTATCCATCTGAAGTTTTCACCAATCGTCTTCATTTTGTCGTTAATTCTTTCACGTGCTTATATCAATCAGTGAGGTACGATAAACTTTCCTGAACTTTTCTGTCTTCTGTACTCTAAGCTCCAGAGTAGTGGCTTATTAGTGAGATATTGAAAGGTAATCTACGCTCTTGAAAATATATTTTCATAGTATCTGAAAAAAAAAAAAAACCAACAAATTCATCCGCTACTCCTCGATATTACCCGCTGTTGCGATAGCAGCATGTTTAAGTCATTTGTTATATTTACAGTTTAGATTACTCACGCTCCAAACGTGTTTTACATCTCCGGTGCATAAGAAGAAGCAGCTTCTCCAATCACTCAGCGAGCGGTAGTCATAACCTTTGCTGTGTACATAGTACGAAACCAAAAACAAAAAACAATTCATTTAAGTTGTCAGCATACTGCGCATCGTGTCGTGATGGTATTGCAATTAACAAATCTCTGGTTCAAAATTGGATATTAGCCTTGCCCTTGTGACTGTAATGATTATAATTATATCAGCATTATTTATTCAGGAAGGAAAATGGTGTTCTTGTAAAAGAATAGGAAGTTTAATGGGTAATTATATAGCACTTAGGGTTCTACTGTTCTATATTGTACAGATATCTTTGATAAATGAAATCTTGTTGTAGCTTTTGTAGTAGTTGTAGATTTTACACGCGATATATCAGCAGAGGAATTTTATCGTTTTGTTCGATGAGCGCCGAATAGTTGATCCGAACAGGCATAACAAAGTGATTTCCCACAATGAAAAAAATGCCTTGGACATCAATTGATGACACGTCAATTTGTGTATGGTGTATAAGCTCTGTTTTAATGCCTGCTGTTAAGGTAGACTTTGTTGAATGAAGTAGACCTCTGGACCAGAAATCTGAAAATTGCCTTCCATATGGTGCAGCAAGATTAGATATAACTTTGTTTTGCCTAAAGTAATTGAATCTTTTTTAGCTCCGTCAATCGAAAAAAAATTTAAGGGTACAGGAATGCACTGCGCTCAAACTGTTTTAATTGGATTCTTCGCACGAACTGAGGATCAAGTTGATATTTGTCGATATCTTTATATGCTAAATATGAAAGTTTTTATCAAACATTGCGTCGAACGATTGCTTGGTATGAAGTGATCTGACAAGGGTAGTTTTACAAATACTTTGAAGACATGTATGTTAATTACTTCGGTCTCCATAAAGAGTATGGCGAGCAAAATGTAAAATGTCGCGTGTTTGACCCTCGCGACCCTTCTCCACGAGCAGAAATTCGGCAAACCACAAATGCAGTTTCGGTTTCCGGACATATTGAGCCTCCAGTCTGGCTAAATGATCAAGATCGAATACCGCTATCTATGGCATTTTGAAGTGGTTAATGGAACTAAGCACAGAGCGAAACCGGCGAAAATCACGAAATTGTTTCTCGTTTTTGCTTGGAACTGAATTGGCCTTAATTTGCTTCTTAGGAGATGAACAGACTCAAGAAAGAAATGCAAACTCACTTTCCGTTATTTGATAGAAATGATTTGAAAGATTCGAGAAAACTATATCTTGATTACTTGATTGTTAAATGCAAAAGAAAGAGGTCTAAAGCTTTTTAAAATTATAATATCTGGCATATTTTAATAGGGTCGGACTGCTGTCTTTGGAAAAAGTTGTTGTTCCTCTAAGAGCAAAAGAAATATCCTAGTTGTGAGTGAAGTTTACTGAAACATAACTTATTGTACAGTAAATGGTTTGAACCTGCATGGAGCAACATAGTGTGATCGTCCAGGTGTTGTCGGTAGTGGAGACTGAGTCGAACGCCAAAAGTTAACCCTAAACCTGAGGAGGGGAATTTTAATGATGAATACAGGAGGTTCTTTTTTTTTTTTTTTTTTTTTTACTTCTTTCTTAACCGTGACCCTGTGATGGGCAGAAATATTGTTTAAGGCGTGTTCAATATCTGGATTTCAAAGGCGTCAGCCTCCTTAGCAGGACCAGCCTTAATCATGTTTAATCAGGATGTTGAAGTGTCACTAATTTATGTTGAATTCCAGTAAGGTCGATGTGCTATGTCGCAAATGAATGGTTCATACTCCGGATATGACGATAGCTAAGTTTTTTTTTCTTTTTTTTTTTTTTCATCTTTTAAAAATCTGTTTACAAGCCTTCGTGACTTCTGCAAGTGGTAGTTAAAGTAGTTTCGTAGGTTTTCTTAGCTTTACTCCCACTGATATTTTGGCGGCTTCGAATCGTATTTGTTTACTCTCAATGCATCAATTGCAGTTAGACCTAAAATAGGTTGTTTTCAGAAGTGTCGACTCAATGAATCCCGCTCTACACACATTAGATTCTGTTCGGGATCGCTTCACGAACTAAAAAGACTTCGAGACAGTTTTGCAAAAAGAAACCTTAATACGGATAAAAATTTTTGGAGAGATCATAAATGCTAAATCTAAGAAATTCAAAGGAAATTTTACACGATACATAAAATCACCTATCCCATCCCTCCTCGAGAACGTTACTTTGTTCGCTTGTCGGTCAGAAAATATTTGAAATATTCTAAAACCACCAGCGTGGCAACAGTCTGACGCTGCGGTCCGAAGCCGGTTATAAATATTGGATTTCCTGGGACGTGACGGCCAGGTTAACTAAGGGACTCAGATAAAAAATGTAAAACTGCGAATGATTTTCTGGAGATAGGTTACCTTTTACCTTGATCCTGGCTGGAGCGATGGGAATATTTTCCTCCGAGAGCTCTTAGTTTGCTTAAGTTTTTTTTGTGATCAAGGTAACGACGAATAAAAGAGTAAAGAAACTCATATTTCTTCTTGTCCGAACATGGAGAAGCATATCATGTTGGTGGCCTCGTGGTAATCGTGCTGGACTTCATTGCTAGTAATGTTCGGTGTCGAGCCTTGCTCGGGTCGATGTTCGGATTCTTGTGCTATGTTCGGTGTCGACCCTTGCTCGGGTCAATGTTCGGATTCTTGTGCTATGTTCGGTGTCGAGCCTTGCTCGGGTCAATGTTCGGATTCTTGTGCTATGTTCGGTGTCGAGCCTTGCTCGGGTCAATGTTCGGATTCTTGTGCTATGTTCGGTGTCGAGCCTGGCTCGGGTCAATGTTCGGATTCTTGTGCTATGTTCTAAGGAATTAATTTACAGTGATAATCACAAAGCCTCTCTCTGTCCAGGGTACAAACGGTTACCTTCAAGCATCCCATCCAACGGGAGCAGAAATTCCCATAATGACTCTATACTCTAGAAACCACTATACGCTACTGTTGTAAAATCTGTATTAACAGTGTAAAAGATACAGAGCTTATACAGTCAGAAAAATCGTAGTAATTCACGATTTCTTAACTTTGTTTGAAATGTTCATTACTCGTAGGTTGCTGTTAAGATAATCGACAAGAAGCAAGCACATCAAGACAAATACGTGGCCAGGAACATGAGGCGAGAGGCCAAAATTATGCAAATGATTCGCCATCCAAACATTGTTCAACTTCTGGAAGTCGCAGAAACGGAACATAGGTAATTTTAACCAATAATATGATAAGACTATTTAGATTTTGGCAAAACATTATCCCGATTTTCTTTCTTGTAAAACTTTATTTACTTCTTGTTAGTTCTATTTTGGATTTAGTAAGGAAGAATTTGCCGGTCTCATGGCACATAATCAGATTATTTGTCTAGACTCTAATAATCCTTTAATTTCGACGAGCGCATCCAAAGATTAACTTGTTTAAACATCTTATGCTTGTCTCTTTGGTTTACAATTAGAAGCTTATCAAGTAATTCTGTCTTATTGGGAATGAGATTTAATTGCCAGTGTACCTCCTTTACATGAAACGTTTCTTCGGTAAATCTTATCCTATATTTTCTTACGTAGTAAAGCGTTTCAAGCAGAACTAGAGTTAAATTCGAAATCAAAACGTGAAAAATATGCAGTCAGATTTTATGCTCTCAGACTTTGAAAAAAATAATGACTTGTGGACACAGGCGGGCTATTTTGTTGTAGATTAAAACAAGAGGACGTGTTAAGCTTGTGAGCTCACACAACATTTCATAAAAAAAGTTCATAACTTTTGATCGCCTCCCCCCACACTCTAGATCAAAAGATTTTGACGCGTCCTGAAAGTACTGAACAGGCGTCAAACGAGGTGATCAGGCTTTTTGTCACCAGATGAATTAGTTTTTTTTTTTTTTAAGCTTAGGGAAGTACTGTGATTGTTAGGAATAACCCATTGGCAACCCGATAAGACACTGGGAATTAGTTGCTGATCACATGTTGAGCGCTTTTCGATTACGCGGTAAGCGATGTGAATGCGAGTGAACGAGTCGCGATTGATTTTAATTTTGCACCGATTTGATTGGTTGAGAAAATTACCCAAACTTTCTTGACCAATCGGAGAGCGTACCGAAGTTAAACCGAGGTAATCCCGAATTACTGTCAACGATCGAAAGAAATTTACCCAGTTACTTTTACTCCACAGTGGGACAAGATTTTCACCCTCGTTCTCAGTTAACTGGAGTTTTTGCTTTATCTTGGGCGGTTTACGTTTTGCGATATGAACTACTGGACAATCAGAATAAATCTTTTAGTATTTAGAAATATGAAACTGGGGAATTTTTGATTTTTAGGTACTACTTGATCACAGAGCTTGCCGCTGGAGGAGATCTTATGGATTATATTTGTTACCGAAGAAAACTTGGCGAAGTTGAAGTCAGAAAATTTATTCGGCAAATTGTGTCGGCCGTGTATTACCTACATCAGGGAGGGATTCTTCACAGGTTTGTGCGGAAAGTAGATCTGACTTTTTAGTCACCACATTCCGTTGAATAACACAGTATTACTGAATAGATAGTAAAATTATTTCTTTAACCCTTTCCTTTCCGTTTTTTTGACGTGTGAATCTCCTTTTAACAATGAGCCGGAATTAAAATATGTCTGGAACCAAGCAGCCTCAGTCAACATCGTCCAAGGGGTGGGGGTGGGTGGAAATTAGAGGACAGTGCGTTTCTATGCTAAACACTGGTGTCTAAATGAATGCCGTGCGTCGGTAATTGTGTCATCGGTTGTTACTGCACAGTACAACAGACCAAAGTTCCATTAAACAACAAATCCGTAGTCAAAAATACTTTCATAAATGAATGACAATCAAACAGAAGTCAGTGTAAAAGCCCTTTGATCGAACAAGAGACTCAAGCGCTTTTCTTTCTGCAGGGACTTGAAAGTTGAAAACCTGCTTTTGGATGATGACTATAATATCAAGATCATAGGTAAAGTGAATTCACATTTATTACTACTTTATTATTATGGAGGGCATACAGGCCATTTCAGCTAGAGCTTTCTCTGGTTTCTGTAGCAGGAAGCGAAAAGGAGCTTTGCTATTCTTTGTGCATATTGTCAAGTTTCTTCGGCAGTTCACGAGTACCATGTGGTACATGTACTCTCCAGGGGGAAGATAAACATTGTGAGAGCAAATAAACTCTTTCATGAACTCACAATAACCCTGTTCAGTCCTTGCACCAGGACCTCTCGGTCTCAGCGCGCCTAGGTCAACTTGTTCCCCACAGGGGTGATGTAGTTCTCCTTCAGACTATTTAGTTATTTTTCCTTGTAGATTTCGGACTCAGTAACACGCTGTTTGTGTCCTCACCTGACGGTCAAAACGCAAAGGAATTCCTGAAGACTCAGTGTGGTTCTCCGGCTTATGCTGCCCCAGAGATCCTGGGACACAAACCGTATGGGCCTGAGGTGGACGTGTGGAGCATGTACGTACAGTTGAATTCTTATGCACTCCAACACTTTTATGTTAGTCTCTTAAGCCTAAAAATAAACATAGTAGTCAGTTATTTTAATAACAAAATGAACGCAGAAAGAAGGAAAGCCGGCAGGTGTACACACACAAAAAAACCGGGCCCACACCTTAGCTCAAGGTTTGGATCCGTCACTGGTGGTAATTCTATGAACTCACAAGACAAATAATTTTATTTACTCACAATGGGCTTTCGACATTGTTAATTCTCGCAGTATGCAGAATGCGTGTCACATATGAAC